GATTTCCTGGGTCCCCTTCAGCTCTCAATGATTCCTCCTGTTGTGCTCCCCATCACTGCTGTATCCTGTAGGGATGTTGGGGCTAGCAGGAGGAATCAGTGAGGGGTGTGGGGGACCCAGGAGGTCAACATTCCCAGAAGTGTTGGTTTTCCAGTAGATTTTGGGGGCAGTATCTACGGAACAACCCCGTGTTCAGTGGGTCGCCACGTGCCTTCCACTTTTCTAGGTGAGAGGCTCCTCTGCCTCCCCCTAGTGCAGCACTGTCAGTTCTCATGCCGGCCAGCCATTCAAAATATGCTGCCTGGTGCCGAGTGTTGGCTTGAGGTGGGGTGGGCTGGGGTTATGGTTGCGAGGGAGCTCCATCCATACATGCATTGCACAGCTCCCTTGCATGTCCTATAGAGGTGCCTGGACCGGAGTGATGTCACATTCTGGTACCTCTACAGGTGATGCACATATGGATGACGCTCCATTATTTTTGTCTTTTAATATCTGCCTGGAGATGTTTTTAGCTTTTAGTCTCCCCATCGATTAACCCTGAGGCCCCGTTCACATTGAGCGATTTATCGCGCGGTAATTCCCGCGATATCGCTCTTCAATGCTTTGCAATGGGGCAAAGGGTCCTGCTGTCGCGGGTCGTGTGTCGCTACAGCAGGACCCTTTTTGGAGTGGATTTTGCTGCGATTCTCGCTTGCTCAATGCAAGCTTTTGCGCGATATCGCGCGACAAACGCGCGATTTGCATTTTGCGCGATATCGCGCAAATTCTTGCATTGAGCAAGCGAGAATCGCGGCAAAATCCGCTCCAAAAAGGGTCCTGCTGTAGCGACACACGACCGGCGACAAAGCATTGCAAAGCATTGAAGAGCGATATTGCACGGGAATTACCGCACGATAAATCGCTTAATGTGAACGGGGCCTAAAACATCATTTCTAACACTCACTCTCCCCCTCATCCCTACATTTCAGCCCCCCACTTACAGCTGAACTCTGGACACAAATTGAAGCAGCAATGTCAATATTAGTATATCATTAAATGTCTATTTATATGCAAACAGTGTAAGTGCCTGAAATATGACCTGGAACCAGCCTCATAATGTCCTTGTACAGCAGACCCCGAGTGTAAGAGGGAGAAGCAGTACAAGGAGCCAGTCATTTCATGTGATGACAGGAAGCATGCCGATAGAAGGAGAGAGCAGAGTGATTGAGAGATGAGCTCCTCACTGTATGGCTTCTTATCTATAGGCTGGAAGCACGATCAGGGAAACCTGGGCTCAGAGGAGGTGGATGGAATGATGCTGGTCATAAGACGAAGGACAACTAGTGGGCGAAAAAAGTGCTACGGGAATATTTGGAATGCAGTAAATGTGCCTTGTTTTTTTTGTGACGGGCTCATTATTTTTATCTTATTTTTGGCTTTTTTTAAAATTGTTTTTATAAATTGGTGGCGCTGTGTGACGTCTTGCAGACTTAGTTGAGTCATGTGATGGATGTAGGTTGGTAGACATGTTCCTGTCCTCATAGAGGAGTGCAGGGTTTGCCCTCAGGCTGAGGAATCGATGATTGATGGTGATAATACAGGACATCGCTGAATCAGCTTCATATTTGTTTCTTCATCCCTTCACGTAACCGACGCCACGTACTGCGTCACGTAGAAGAATTGCGCAGAACGGTTCGGAGTTTGAAGTTAGTTGGTATGATTTGTCTGCCTTGTATACATATTTTAGTCTCTCTGCATTTTCATTATATCCTCAGTGTACAGGCTCGCTGCTTCCTTCCTGTGCGGCACCTTTGCTACCTGCCCGTCTACCCTCTGGGTCCCCTCTCTGTGGTACGGGTAAGGTGCCAGCCTGTGCTCTGTTGTCATTCATCTACCCATCTGTTTCCTGTGGTATGTATAACATGCCTGGGCACTGCCCCCGTCTCCTCGCCGGGATCCAGCGGTAGCTCGGGGATTCCTTTTAAGGCAAAGACTGATGCGTGAGAACGAGAGGACGGGAAGCCAGGCTGGCGAGGGTTCTGGTCTGTTAACCCTCTTCATGTCAGCGGATTGAATGTGAGGCTCATCGGGAGTCTGAAATAAAGTTCTGCTTTTATTCCATACAAGTGCCTCATACCTACCAAGCTAGATGACCCTTCTACAGGGGGGCAGCATTCAGTAACTTCTAGAAACAAGTCCAGGTTCCCCTTGCAGCATTTTAGGGAAAGCAATGTGAGACAATTGGAGGTTTCTGCAGTTTGGGGTGTAGCGAGGGTCACATGACCACCGTCAGAGGAGCCGGAGGTATGTGCAGGCACCTCGTACTGCCAGTTCTGATGCATTGGGACACTTAGGATAGTGACGGGTACTTTTCAGCATAAAGTCCTGTGTAATGGAAAATCAGCACAGTGTTTTAAATGGAAGAGCAGCTCAGATATCCAAATATGATAAAGCTTAATACCAGGAAAGTATACAAAACACAAATGGCAGCTCTGTATTTCTAAATACATCATTGCACGCTGATTTGTTTAATGCAAGCAGTGTAAGTACCTGAATGTGGCTCATTATGAGCATGATGCAAACCTTAGTACTGAAGAGCTCAGGCTGGGTGAAGGAAAAGAAGCACAAGGAGCTAATTGGTTTGCTTGCAAGGGACATGCTGATAGAAGGAGAGAGCATGGTGACCGAGAGATGAGTTAATCAGTCTGCTGCCGCTTCTTTCACTGTCCAGTCACAGGGTGGGGAGAGAGACCTATAAGTGCTCCTGAACTGCAGCAGAGAAAAATCAGGTTTCCTGTGCTGTCAGACAAGGCTGTGCTGTGTATATAAATTGAAGGACTGGATGGACAGAAATCCTTTGACAGATAACAGAAGGGTATTTCATCTGTGTGTTTTGTGGTTTGCCTGGAGTTCAGCTTCAGTACGTGATGGTTGCAGCCATGATCTTGGTGTAGTCCTTTTCAGCAGGTGATTGCTTGTTAATTACAGATGAGCTGGGCAGTGGTTTTTCAGGGTCCCCAGCTCCTCTGGGGGGCCCGGGACGACGGAAAACACTGTCCGGATGGAGAGTGGGAGCCGACTAAGGAATGTCTGTTCCCGGATCTGCTCTGTGATCAATGAAGCAGAGACCACTTCCTGGTTCAAAGCTGTGAGAAGCCGCTGAAGTGTCGGTTACACATTCCTGTGCTCCATCTGTATTGGAGGGCAGGAGAGACATCAGGGGTCTAACAGACCTCACTCTCACCCTGACCCAACATGTCGCATATATACATTGTGTGTGTGTGTATGTATGTTTGTATGTATGTATGTATATATAATTCTGGGACCATAGTTCACTGTTACCTCTAAACTGATGGCCAATAAAGCCTTTTAAAACGTCACCTATGGACAATTTTGAGTACTATCGTTTTTCACCATTGCACGGGTGAACGCACTTTTAACATGTGACATATTTGGTATCTGTTTACTTGGCGTGACCCCCATCTTTTATTTTTTACCAAAAAATTGGGTTTTATATTGTGTTTGCATTAAAAATAGAAGGGCACTGAAATGAAAAGTTTAAACCGAAAATAATAATAAAAAAAATTTTTAACCTTTTTTTTAAATTTTTTTCAAATTTTTTTATTTTTATTAAATATTTTTATTTTTTAACCCTACTGTGGGCGGCTCTGGAGAAATATCTGGGTTCTAAACAGATCCCTGATATTTCCCTTTTTAAAATAGGAGATTAAAGTCACAAGAGTCCTCAATCTCTTTTTCTGCAGCCCGTGTTTATAAATGAACAGGAAGCCTCTATACTGAGTGCTCCTGTTCATTCATAACTTGTGGAGATCGTATGAGTTACTATGCACACAATCATGAATGAACAGGAAGTGATGTAGAGCACTTCCTATTCATTCATAACTGGTACATAGTAACGTGTACTCTGTCCTCACTTATTTACAAGCAGTCAGCGATCACTGATTGCTGTGTGCTTGTTACGCTCTCCATCTTGACTTGCTGTTGCAGCTGAGCCAGCGGGGCGGGGAGGAGAGCTCGGTCTATTTTGACACCTGACTCCTCCCCCTCACCGCCAGCTCATGTGACTTTGCACAGCTGTCTCTGCCCCCACATCGATCTCCATCCTGATCGGTCAGAGTTGGGCAGCGGGGCGGGGAGGAGAGCTCGGTCTATTTTGACATCTGACATCGCTCTTCTCCCTCGCACCGCTCGGCCACCTCTGACAGTTTCTCTCCTCCCTGCTGGACGCTGTGCTGTGTCAGAGAGGATAAAGACCAATGCCCAGCAGTGAGGAGAGAAAATATGGATGCAACACAATTGTGGCCAAAAAATTGCACTTTCAGCATTTTGCCAAAAGTGCCATTTTCGGCCGATTTTTGTTTTGGGTGGCTAAAGTTTCGGTGCATCCCTAATTTTAGTGGCTTTTTTTTTTATTTTACCCTAAAAATATTTGATAAACATTTGCTCGAATATCATGTGACAAAAAATGCAGCTATCATTGTTTTTTTAATTCTACAAGGCCTCCGCTTTCAGAAAATATATAATTGTTTGGGGTGTTTAAAGTCCTTTTCTTCTATCCACATATTCAGATTTTAGCATGTGTGTGTGCAAAATGAAAAACCGAGGGTGTATTCAGCACATCTGCCATGAGAGAACCTTGGGGGCTGCCATTGCTGATAGTTGCCTCCTGCTAGTTACCTGGATCTGTTTGGCTTTAGTACTTTGGGTCAGGAACAGAAACACGAGAAGCCCTAGTCTGAATCTTTGTCCAAGATCAACTGTTGGATAGACGAGCAGCATGACTGCCAGGCGGCTAGCATTTTTGTAAGGAGGGGTCAACAATGGCTGCCTCCATGCTTACTCCTTTGAAACCCTTGTGTCTGTGTTCAGATCTTTGCACTGTAACATACTGTTGAAGGCGCTTCATGGGAATGGTAAAAATGTCAGAATGTGCCCCAGTCAGTAAGGGGTTAATATTGCCTTAGTATAAGTGGTAACCGAATTGCTATCTTTTCCTGCAGAAAATCAAAGGCTAAGCCAAATGGTAAGAAGCCTGCCTCCGAAGAGAAGAAGCTGTACCTGGAGCCTGAATACACCCGTGTCCGCGTCACAGACTTTGAATTCAAGCAACTAGTGACATTACCGCAAGAGATTGACCTCAACGAGTGGATGGCCAGCAACAGTAAGGTTCCTCATTTTTATTGCATGGGTTAGCATGCGTGTATGGAGAAATAACACGCAGAGGTGGATCAGATAGTAGAACGGTCCCCCACGTGTCCGCTGTGTCATAGAGAAGCATTGCGGGAAACTGGAGACGTGCCAGGTAGATTCTTGTGTGAAAAACAATAAGCAATAAGATTCTTTAACAACTTTATTATTACTCACAGCAGATGTAAGTGTATATAACAGAAACAAATGTGTGTCAGTGTGTTATAGTGGGCTGTACTTGTATGTCCTATAATAACGTTATTGGTGGGATGCGGGGTTCTATAGCAATGGCTAGGGACCAGTCATTGTAGGTCTTGGCCGGTCACGGTGGCAAAGCTCTTTGTAATTATAATGTGTCACTGTAAAGCTTTTTATTTGTTTATTGACTTGGAAAGAAGTTTATTTATTGAGATTTTTTTTAATTTAAAGACTATGAAAGGAACATAGCAAGTCCTGTTACTTCTCAGCAGTAGTATAGGATTCTTGCACATACTCTGATCATAACCTAGCTTCTTACCCTCCTCCTCTGTGTTCCACTTCTCGCCCCTTAACTCTCCTTCTGTGTGGCCCTTTTCTCCTTCTTCCAGCGTCCTCTGTATTGTATTATCTTTCTTTGTGACTACTTATCCCTCAATTCCTGTTTGCCCTATCTGTCTATCTCCTCCTGGTCTGCCCCCTGTTCCTCTCCTGGTCTTCCCCACTGTTCCTCTCCTTGTCTTCCCCGCTGTTCCTCTCCTTGTCTGCTCCCCCCCTCGGTCCTCTCCTTGTCTGCTCCCCCCCTCGGTCCTCTCCTTGTCTGCTCCCCCCCTCGGTCCTCTCCTTGTCTGCTCCCCCCCTCGGTCCTCTCCTTGTCTGCTCCCCCCCTCGGTCCTCTCCTTGTCTGCTCCCCCCCTCGGTCCTCTCCTTGTCTGCTCCCCCCCTCGGTCCTCTCCTTGTCTGCTCCCCCCCTCGGTCCTCTCCTTGTCTGCTCCCCCCCTCGGTCCTCTCCTTGTCTGCTCCCCCCCTCGGTCCTCTCCTTGTCTGCTCCCCCCCTCGGTCCTCTCCTTGTCTGCTCCCCCCCTCGGTCCTCTCCTTGTCTGCTCCCCCCCTCGGTCCTCTCCTTGTCTGCTCCCCCCCTCGGTCCTCTCCTTGTCTGCTCCCCCCCTCGGTCCTCTCCTTGTCTGCTCCCCCCCTCGGTCCTCTCCTTGTCTGCTCCCCCCCTCGGTCCTCTCCTTGTCTGCTCCCCCCCTCGGTCCTCTCCTTGTCTGCTCCCCCCCTCGGTCCTCTCCTTGTCTGCTCCCCCCCTCGGTCCTCTCCTTGTCTGCTCCCCCCCTCGGTCCTCTCCTTGTCTGCTCCCCCCCTCGGTCCTCTCCTTGTCTGCTCCCCCCCTCGGTCCTCTCCTTGTCTGCTCCCCCCCTCGGTCCTCTCCTTGTCTGCTCCCCCCCTCGGTCCTCTCCTTGTCTGCTCCCCCCCTCGGTCCTCTCCTTGTCTGCTCCCCCCCTCGGTCCTCTCCTTGTCTGCTCCCCCCCTCGGTCCTCTCCTTGTCTGCTCCCCCCCTCGGTCCTCTCCTTGTCTGCTCCCCCCCTCGGTCCTCTCCTTGTCTGCTCCCCCCCTCGGTCCTCTCCTTGTCTGCTCCCCCCCTCGGTCCTCTCCTTGTCTGCTCCCCCCCTCGGTCCTCTCCTTGTCTGCTCCCCCCCCCTCGTTCCTCTCCTTGTCTGTTCCCCCCCTCGTTCCTCTCCATGTCTTCCCCCTATTCCACTCTCTCTCCCTGTCTCTGCTCTTGATTTCTGTTCTGACTCTTTTCCATATTGCTTTTTAATGTGTTCCTCTTCTGTACCCTCTGCTTCTTTTGTGAAAATGTCTGAGACTACAAGTGGTTGAAACAACCACTTGTAGTCTCAATCAGAAATGTGTGTTACAGGATGACAATGCAGGAGCACCTAAGCATGGGTTGATGCAAGGTTTTGGGGTTTTTGTTTGTTTTGCTTTTTTTCCACAAATGTAGATTTTTTTTTTTATATATTTATGGTTATTATTGTTCTTTTGTTTTCCGTTTAAAATGCAATTGTGTGTTTTCATTTCAGTTACCACTTTCTTTAACCACATCAACCTTCAGTACAGCACCATCTCAGAGTTCTGCACAGCGGAGACGTGCCAGACTATGGCTGCCTGCAACACGTAAGTTTACACCTATGAAGAGGGTATGGCTGCCTACCTTAGGGGCTGTTTACTGCTCTGTATCTTCTTGTCACCAGCAAGCTATGGCAGTGCTAGACCACATCATACATAACACTCATATTAACAAAGATCTAGTGCCCAGACAGGAGCCCTACATTAGTATTCTGTCACTGCCTGTAACATGCAGTGCTTTACTTGTCACATGACTGCACGGGTCACTCTCATTTCCTGAAATGCTGTATACTTCAGGAACTATTGTGGTTGCACGTTGAGCTATAGGCTCCTCCTAAGATTTCTTTTTAACTGGAGAATTACAGACAATCAGAAGACCACCAGGGGTAACTAGATGCCGGCAGTATTCATACACCTCATAATATAAAAAGATTGATTGACATGATTTCATCTGCACTTTGTTCCTCATTACAGACAGTACTACTGGTATGACGAGCGGGGGAAGAAGATAAAATGTACAGCCCCTCAGTACATTGACTTTGTTATGAGTTCAGTACAGAAATTGGTGACAGACGAGGATATCTTCCCCACCAAATACGGTGAGTGATTTCACAGGGGGTGAAGTATGGCGTCAAGCCAGTAAAGGATTCTGATAAATACATATATTGGATCTTCAAGCTCATAATACGGCCTGGAATTTCTAACTACAGATAACCGGGTAACGGTTCAAAGACAGATCTAGAAACATGTCTGCATCTATTTGTTCATATTTTTGATGGTTTGCAGATTAAAGAAGGCCAGTCGTCTTTTGACATATTTACAGATAAATGCCTTGCAGTTTAGGAACTTGGACAGTAGTTGCTGAGAATCCTTTACTACTATGAGGTCAGATTTAAACATCTATATACCAGAAGTGTGTTGTCCAGAAGGAAGACGTCCTGCACAAGCAGGCAGCTGGTGCCAGCCAAGTAGATTCAATTACGATATAGTTGCCACTATCACTTGCTGCTGTTTCAAATGAAAAATGTGTGACCAGAACTTCGAACATTTTAGACATTCAGCAAGAGACACAATGAGGGGAATTTCTCAAAAGTGGAGCAGATAAAATCTGGAGCAGCTGAGTACGGCAACCAATCAGCTGCTCTCTTTCATTTTCAAATCTTCACTGAACAAACTGAACACAGAAGCTGATTGGTTGCCATGGGCAACTGCTTCAGATTTTGGCTGCTCCACTTTTGATAAATTCCCCTGAATGTATGACAGTGTTAGTTCGTAAAGTCTTTTTTACGGAGTGCTTCTACAATAATGTTACAGTCTTCATCGAAGCAGGCTTCATTATACAGCAGTGTTCAGACTGGGGGTAGAAGGAGCCAGTCAGTTGTGCTGCAGTACGCATGTCCTAACAAGGAACATTCGGAAAGGAGGAGAGAGCGGAGTGACAAAGAGATGAGCTAATCAGTCTGCTTCCTCTCCTTTCACTGTCCAGTCAGAGGCTGGGGTATGGACAAGCCCTGAAAGTTTTACTTAAAGTGACAGTAAACTCAGGAGTTAAATCTTAAAAATGGATCCAAATACCCCAACTATTAACAATACTGGACCTTATTTGTGTATCACACGGCTGTAGATCCTCAAATCATCTCTGTATTGGTGCTGACACTGTCCTTCCTTCTGGAGGGTGGCTACTTCTGTTCCCCATGGTCCCTGTGTTGTAAAGTATCCAACGAACCAAGCTCGCTCCCGCGATGCACTACGATCTCATGTGTAGTTTAACAATTTGTATCAAGATTGTAGTCCATCAAAGGAAGAAAGTTTAGAGTGGTGACTACTTTATACAACACACAATGGGGACAATGGGGGTCAAAAGCAGCCACCCTCCAGAAGGAAGGACAGTGTCGGCACCAATTCAGAGATGATTTGTGATCTACAGCCGAGTGATACACAAATAAGTGTATCCATCATTCATCAGTTGGGTCTCCATCGGAAGAGTGGTCCAAAATTCCCGTAGAGGTGTAAGAAACTCATTGATGGTTACAGGAAGCGATTGATTTCAGTTATTTGTTCCAAGGGCTGTGCTACCAAATTTTAATTGAAGGTGCCAATAAATTTGTGGAATGTGTCAGGTTTGGCTTTTTTGTGCATGCCAATACAAACAAAAGAAATAAACATGAGAAAGCCGAAACATTTGCTGCACAAAGTGGTGCATTATCTGACAGAAATGCAGGGGTGCCAATATTTTTGTCCATGACTGTATACATATAATAATTTTCGTTACAAGACCTCTGTATTTTGATTCTATGTGTTTGTATAGCTGATTTAGTGTGCAGTACTTTCTCCGTTTTGTTTCATAGTCGGCCTTTTCCTGTTTGTTCCGCAGGCAGGGACTTTCCGAGCTCCTTCGACACCTTGGTGAAGAAGATCTGCAGATACCTATTCCATGTTGTTGCTCACATTTATTCAGCTCATTTCAAAGAGATCGTCGCCATGGAGCTACACGGACACTTAAACTCTCTGTTTATTCATTTCCTCCTGTTTGTGCGGGAGTTTAATCTACTGGACCCCAAGGAGACCGCCATCCTGGACGACCTGTCTGAAATGCTCTTCTCGGAGGACAGCAGGGAGGCAGCAGGGGCCACGGGAGGGGCACAGAACCATGTGAAGGAGAGATGAGTTCTCCCCCACAATGTCCCGCTTCCTTTCCTTCCACTGCCCCCTCCCAGCGTGCCCTAACCCCTAATATAGAGCTGGCTAAGCTCCCAGCTCAAAGCACAGGGGAAATGGGGTTATAGGAACTGCGCTGCCAGTTTTGGAGGTGGGGAAGGGCCCTGCCTGCATTACCCCAGCCTGAAGGGGAGCAGACCTCGCTCTTATCTTTAGCAGGACCTTGCACCGAGTATCACCTTATTTTTATTTGTGTCTTGAGGTTTTTTTGTTTCTCTTTTTCCCCGTTTCTTTTATGATCCTTCTTTGTTTTCTTTTCCTTTTCTGACTCCTCCCTTTTTTTCTTTTTATGGGTGGCACTGCCGTTACTGGCTTAATTCTATTATCCTAATAAGAGAAAATATTTGCGTTTTTTTAATTTTATTTTGCCGTGGCTTTGGAGGGATGTTTGAAGCACCTCAGAGGACGGGGGTTGAGACCTGGGTGGGGTGGACTGTCAGAGTGGAGAAGAAGTCACATGTCGTCCCTTGCTCTGTAATGAATCGGGACTCCCGCATCACCACCCGATCTGGTCATCGTCTCTCCCCCTCTTGCTCCTAAGGAGGAATGCTGGGTGCTCACCCCTCAATGGGGTGGAATAATATTGTTGGCTTCTTTTAGTTTATCTGTTAAATAATGATGATAATAATATTAATAATAAAACAGATTCTATCAGCTTGCTGAGTTGAGTTTCTGTTTTGTATGGAAACAGAAATATGCCTTTGGAATCCATGTAAGAACAGAAAGCGTGGATGTGATCTTGGGTCACTGTTAATACTGGCCATGTAAAAGGCAATATTAGTCGGCTTTCTAATGCAGCAATGATCACACTGATTGAGGACCTTCAATCGACATTCTCATTGTAGATGGAATTGATCTGCTCAGTGATTTGTGCATTGTGCTAGAAATGGCCCCAGAAATTTCTGTGCGTTACCATGACCATGCAGGACAAAGTGACCACGTGTTTTAACACCCCCCTAGTTATATTCCTCTTACCTGTACTTCCTCACAGCTCTTGCCTCCTCCACAGCTGACTCTTAGAGCGGACCTTTAACCTCAAAAATCTAATTCTACCCTCTATGTATGATGATGAATAATAACATAGACATGTCAGGTGTACAATGCTGTGACTGTGAAATACTTACACTTGCAGAGCATTCACTTCCTGCTTTAAAAAGTGCAAATTACTTCAGTTGCACACTGGGATTGTCATCAGCAGAGCATTGCTGGGAAATCTCATCTGTAATCTCATGAGATCTCAGGGAAAGGCATTTTCCTCCCCTGAGATGATGTGCATGGTCACATGTCCTAGTCACATGTGCCAGAAATCCAGGAAGTAATAGGAGAGCTAGCAATCTGTCCTTAGTAAACATGACCACTGTCAGAAGACTGGGGAAGAAAAGAGAAACAAGATATGCAAAGAATAAAAAGCTGCCAATTATCTAGAAGTATGTGATTGTAGATTGTCATCACTAAACATTTCTAAAGGTGTGTCTGTTGTTATTTTAAAGATATGGGTAAAGGTCCGCTTTAAATCCAAGGCGTTATCTGGTGTTGGAGGCTACAGAGATAACCTAGCAATTGGCCACTAGAACCAAGCACAGCCACTGATGTGAAAGTTACATGCTCCCCCACATTCGCAAGCACTGGATATTGTTGGTGGCGGTAGGGGTGGTGAGGATGCCCTGGTAAGGGGGGTATAACTAAAGTGGCGGAGGGTCCTTGACACACACACACCATCACTTAGCCCTGGATCGGTAAAGTTACAATATCTCTTTAAATATATTGCATCACTCTAAGCATAGTTCTAATACATTCTTGGAGCAGATTCACTCAGCATGCTAGGAAGGGTAAACCTCTGTTGTGTTTAGAGCAGCAAATTCAAGGTGGCCAACAGGTAAGTTATGCACTTTAGTCCAATAATTATATATAACAGGACACAGCCAACATGCAATGAAAAATCTGCAGGTAGAACCCTGTACTTGAAACATTTATTTTGCAGCCCCATTAAAAGCAGTCAGTCTGGTGTACATTAAAGACATATTTCAATTGTGTTGGTTCTCTGTCATTCTTATACCATTGTGAACAATGTCTCTTCTACTTCATCCCAGGGTTCTGACATCATAGATGACATATGCTTGGTCTGAACCACGTAGAATCGTCCTTAAGAAAAGAGCTGCACTGGGATTGTATTGCATGTCTTAATAAAACATACTTGGAGACTACTCTTGGAAAAAGTTGTTTTAGTTTATTTTTCATACAGACACTGTAAAGATGATGTCAAAACATGTGCGTAGATTCAACCCCATGTTATGACCCACCAAAAGGACTCCCAATGTTTGCATAGTTCCATCATGTTTAGGATAAGCTCCATTGGCATTTTAGATATGAAGCTCCTGTAGATCTGCCAGAAGTTGAGGTTTGTGCCATTTCACTCCAGTTGGGAAGACCTTGTTACAAGTGTTTGCTTGAGATAGACGCACAGGATTTCTATGCTGTATGGCATCATTTACCACTTATGGGCAAGACCAAATATGGTGAATGATGTCACTGGGGATGCCTGCAAGCTGACAAGAATTTGATTACCAGTTGCTACGATGTCAGCGTGAGACAGAGCAGAGAGAGAGAGAGGGTGAAGAGAGGTAAGAGTGCAGGGAGTCAGTGGTTCTTACCATCTCTTCCCACTGTCTTCTCACTGGAAACTCCGCCTCCCGCTCCCACATGTCGGCATGCTCTGGCCACACATAGTGTGCATGATTAGAGAAAACACAGCAACAGAGGATAGAGTTAGAAAAAAAAAAAGCTGAGGGTGGGCTGCATTGACTGTTAACGCCCCCGAAGAGGAAAGGAGTAGGGCTGCAGGTAGCCGTTTTTTGTGACTTGTGATTAATTTATCTGGGATGTGCTGCGACTCTGGAAATGGGGAAGAAAGCCATTACAGTAAAGGTAAGGGATATTTTTATTTGTCCTTAGGTCATAATTTTCCTTGAAATATATTTGCCAGCACAGTGTCTGATGTGTCAGATCTGGTTTATCAATTCTCTGCCCATTTGTTTTTCAGCTTTGTCATACTAGAGGAGATCACGCTCTGTTTTGATGGTTACAACTTTCATTTTCAAGAAATAATGGGAGTGCATTTCTATTTTTTTTTTACTGGGTTCATTTAATTGAGAGCTCCAAAACGGTCCCATAGATAGATGACATAGACGGGTCTACAATAAAAGGGAAATATTAAGTAAACGTGTCCTTAAATGATAACGAAGATTATCTCCAATTTTTCTCAGAAGAAAGGGAATCATGAAATAAACAGGGGAGGAAAATTGGAACGTGAAGATATACACCGATCAGCCATAACATTATGACCACAGATGTGAAGTGAATTTGATTATCTCATTACAATGGCACCTGGAAGTTGGTGGATATATTGAGCAGCAAGTGAACATTTTGTCCCTGAAGTTGTGTTGGAAGCAGAAATAACAGGCACGCGTAAGCATTGCAGTGATTTTGACAATGGCCAAATTGTGATGGCTAGATGACCGGGTCACAACAACTCCAAAACTGCAGCTCTTGTGGGATGTTCCTGGGCTGCAGTGGTCAGGACCTACCAAAAGCGGACCAAGGAAAGAAAGCCTGGTGAACTAGCAACCGGGTCATGGGTGTCCAAGTCCCATTGGTGTATGTGGGGAGTGAAGCCTGGCCTGTTCCAATCCAAAAGAGAAGCTACTGTAGCTCAAATTGCTGAAAAAGTAATGCTGGTTCCTATAAAAAGGTGTCTGAACACATAGTGCATTGCATTTTGTTGCGTATGGGGCAGCGTAGCCCAGACCGGTCAGGGTGCCCATGCTGACCCGGGTCCACTGCTAAAAGTCCTACAATGGGCATGTGAGCATTAGAACTGGACCACAGAGCAATGGAAGAAGGTGGCCTTGTCTAATGAATCACATTTTATTTTACATCATATGGATGGCTGGGTGCGTGAGTCTCTTACTGGGGGTACTAGGATGCACTATGGGAAGAAAGCAACCTGGTGGAGGCAATGTTCTGTTGGGAAACCTTGGGTCCTACCACTCATGGTGATGTTACTTTAACATGTACCACCCATGTACACATTGTTGCTGACCAAGTACACTCCTTCATGAAAATGGTATTCCCTGATGGCAGTGACCTCTTTTAGCAGGATAATACACCCTGCCACACTGCAAACACTAGTTTGAGGAACACAACAAGTGTGAGATGCTGACTTGGTTTCCAAATTCTCAAGATCTCAATCCAATCAAGCAACTGTGGGATGCGCTGGAAAAACAAGTCCGATCCATAGAAGCCCCACCTTGCAATTTACAGGATCTGCCACTGATGGTTTGATGCCAGATACTACAGCATAACTTCAGAGGACTAGTGGAGTCCATGCCTCAACCAGTCAGTTCTGCTCTGAGAAGGTTGCCTACCCCAGGAGTATATGATAACAAGATAAGAGCAGTAGGTTTTAGGGCAGATCTAGCCAAACTCCGGCCCTCCAGCTGTGGTGGAACTACAAATCCCACGAGGCATTGCAAAATTCTCACATCCACAGACATGACTGCCGGAGAGAGATGCATCATGGGATTTGTAGGTTCACCACAGCTGGAGGGTCGGAGTTTGGCTACCCCTCTTTTAAGGAAACATAAGGTTTTCAGATGTCTTATCTTTGTAGATTACAATTAAATCCCATAAACCGGCAAGATGACTTTTGCCATGTTTTGCAATGAGCCAAAAGAGGTGGTAGGATACATTAAACCAGTGAATAGTTACAGGGTTATCCGCAAAAGGGTGAAAGAGTTTGGAGGAGGCAGGATAAGTGAACAATCTAGGACAGGGGTAGCCAAACTCTGGCCCTCCAGCTGTGGTGGAACTACAAATCATTGCAAGATTCTCACAGACATGACTCCCAGAGAGAGAGAGATGCATCATGGGATTTGTAGTTTCACCACAGCTGGAGGGCCGGAGTTTTCCTAACCCTGATCTAGGACAACATAGCTGAACTGGAAAGTGAGCTGAAT